GATGATGAAGATGATGAAGATGATGATGAAGATGAAGATGAAGATGAAGATGATGATGATGATGATAATGATAATGATGATGATGATGATGATGATGAATCTCATTTGGTAGAGCCTCAGTAGTAGTTACTCCGTTACTGTGTTGATGTCATAAATAGGGTGGTCGTATTTAAAATATTAAATATACAAAACAGTCTCAGTGAGTTTGTAAAGAAAAAGGACAACAACAGACACACACACACACTCTCACACACACACACACACAGCTGTTAATTTAATTAAAGGCGTGCGCGGGTGCGTGCGTGCGTGTGTGTCGGCCGTTCGACCATCATGACTCCTGTCTGAACATTGTCGAGACTCACCCTCACCCTCACCCCCTCCCCCCCCCNCCCATGCTCTGTGCAGCTGACGGGGCCGGGGGGGGGGCGTGGTGCGTCTGCGCCGGGGCTGGCAGACCTAAGTGCGCCCCCTGCTGTGGGTACCAGTTCTGGTGGGTGTAGTCTCCCATGTAGGTGGGCGAGGAGCTGAGTGCAGCCTGGTAGGAAGCCTGCACCCTGCTGGTGGGCTCCAGCATTGCGGTACTCTTGTTATTTGTGTTGCTGCCGTCGCTGCTGCTGCTGCCGTTGTTGCTGCTGTTGCTGTTGTTGGGGGTGGAGGTGTTGCTGCTGCCGTTGTTGCTGTTGTTGTTACTGTTGCGGCTGTTTTCCCACACAGCTGGAGACGGGGGGGAGTTACAGGCCATGGAATCACTGGCGTCTGGACTGTGTTCCAGAGCGATCTCCCCCAGGGGGAACTCTCCGTTCTTGTAGAGCTTCTTAAATTTGGAGCGACGGTTCTGGAACCAGATTTTGACCTGGAGGGAAGAACATCAAACGTTAAGGCTCCACAGTTTACCACCTACCAAGTATAAAAACGGCCCCCCCCTCAGACCCCCTGATGTTACTGCAGTCTGTAGTTAGCTCCGTCCCACGTGTTTAAACGAAGACAGTTGGAGCCGAATCTCCAGAGCTGTAAACAAACACCCACCGTCTCCTACAAACAAACACCTGAAGAACTCCACGGAGCCATGGGTACCATGGGTACCATCGGTACCATCGGTACCATGGGTACCATCGGTACCATGGGTACCAGAACCACAGGTTGGTTTTTGTTAAAAATCTAGTATTTACAAAAATAAAAACATTCCTAGATTATAATGGCAGGAGAGTGGAGTGAATCTGGGACAGGGTGCCCCTAGTGGTCAGATCCAGTCTGTATATAATGACCGGGTCAGAAAGTTATTTCCAGTTAGGGCATGAAAAAAAAAATAAAATCTGGAGGAATAATTTAAATATATTTGATTTATTTTAATTCAACATTTGGCCAGAAATAAATTTTAGATTTCTGAAATTTTCTTACAGATTTAGAGGCTTTTTTTGAAATTCAAATAATTCAAACTATATAAAAACTAAACACATAATTTGGCTCTGGAAATTACTATAATTATTTATTATTAATATATAAATAATAATAATATGTAAATATTACAGATGTAACAGATGAATAATGTGAACAGGCACACGTGTGAATTGTGCTGTTGAAGTTTGGGTTCGTTCTGTTTGTTCTTCGGTGGATTTTAATATTATACATGTATCTGTTTCCTGAACACACACACACACACACACACACACACACGCAATGAAAACAAACAGGTGAAATAAAATCCTCAGTTGTTGCAGAGAAGCCTGTTCAGCAGCACGAGCCTAAAAAAAACATCTATCTGAGAAAGAAATGTGGCCGAGCTGGTGTCGAATTCCCCGCGACAATATTCCACGCTTTAATCGTTTTCTTCAAACGTTACCTGACTCCACGGACGGTTCTGTATAAACCGTATCCAGTTTCGAGAGCGAGAGCCGTGACGTGGTTTCGCGGCCTTTGTTTTCTTAATTCAACAATCCTCAGTGATGATTTACAGCCGCGGTGAAGAAACAGCAGCCCGTGCCGCTGCATTCTCCTTCACTCACTTGAGCCAAGATAATTCTTCATAAAAACATAAAGAGCCGTGACACGGAAGTAGCTGCTGCTCACGGAGCCGCTGACGCTTCCTGCTGGGAAGAGACAATTCACGGGAATTTTGGGTTTGACTTTCGCAGTGACTATGAAAAGTGAAATATGGAATTTTAGTCCGATATTAACTTATCGGTCGATATCCGATGTGCCGATATTGTCAAAACACTTTCCGATTCCGATATTAACCGATATAGTGGGGCAGTGGTGCTGGGTTTAACCCTTCACCAGCCATATTAGCATAATTATCAGACATCTCTAGTACTTATACGTAATTTGTGTTGATTGTAGCAGGGGTTCTCAACTACTAGTCCGCGGGCCGATACCATGCCGACGGTCACTGGTCCAGGGACCTTAAATGATCAACATGGCAGACGTTTTACGTTTTATGTTGTAAAATGACCAGCAGTTATACATGTCTACGGAGAGCTTTGTTGAAAAGGTCAATTCACCCGTGACCCTCGAAATAAAAGTAGTTTCTTGTGGTGCCAAGGAAGCACATTGAAGGTTCTCAACCACTGGTTCTACTCCCGACACCTGACGTTTGGTACGGGGCCGAGGAGAAATGCTGAATAGCAGGAAGTTCAATTATTTTAAAAATAATTCTCAAAGTCAGATGAGATTCCTGTCAAAATATTTCCGGCCGACAACTTCATGAAGTTTCTTCCATTTTATTTGGTCCAGGATCAAAGGTTGACTTTGATTATATTAGCCTCGTATTCTGGCGCTGACGGAACACGGATTCTCACAGTGACTCGGTTCAAGGATTACATTAATAATAAAGTAAATATTTGACTTGACGTTCAACTGTGTCTGATCCAAAATAAATAAAACCTCTTCATTGTGTCCAGACTGAACACACGACACATGAGAAAACATTAGCTACAGTTTGATTTTCAAATCCGTCAGAGGTGATGAGCACCGGCGTGATGCGACTGTCACTGAAACTCCGATGCTAAGCTCCGTGCCACGCCCCTTTTCAACAGAACTGTGACACACAAACATCAGCCGCTGTCCTCTATTGTATTTAAATCAATTAACGAGGCCTCGTTTTCTGTGCAACCGCTTTCGGTGCCAACTCTGAAACCGGTCTGGTTGGTTTGTGCTGTGGGGTGGAGGTATGAAGATGCTGCCCCCCCCGCCAGCCCCC